GGAAACAAAAAAATTGCAAAGGATTTACTTGGTCAATTGCCCGCACGAATGCGTCATCATCAGCACGAATGCCACAATCAAATATTAAAATAGTCCTTTTACCTTCCACTTTAAGGTCTCTTATATATTCCCCGAAACCATTCCATTTCTGAAGTTAATCACATCCCACACACTCTTCAACAATCATTCATCCCATTCAATTTCGAAGCATTATCGTCTTTCCATGAGCACTGCTTTCTTGCTAAAAATAAGTGAACAAACCTCTCCGACAGTGAAGTCGTTATAACGATGCATGTATTCGATGTCTGCATATACTACATCCAAAGGAATTTTGGCTTCTTTCACTTCGCTCACAACACTTTTCAATTCATTCAAGTCTTTATAGCCATACCTACATAGCTGAAAGTAGTTGATGAATATTTTCAAGGAATCATCTCAACTGAGTAATAATACTATCATTGCTGAACACCAAATATGATAAAACAGAATAAAAATTGAGAATATCATTTCTGCTTTTATTCAAATATTGGAACGTTTTTTTACAAGTATCTTTTCGATTGATTTAATCATGAAATAAATGTCTTATGGAGAGAATATCTGTTGCATGTCGAACCTGGAACCCAAGTGAAAAATATGCCGGAAGGGTTGGTTTACCAATGAAGGTTGTATATTGCTGAATAACTTCTTCGGGTGTGGGCCCAGGAAAGAAGAATATATCAAGCATTCCACCAATTGTCCGATAGACTAATGCAGGACCTGGCATCGTTGTCACTTCCTTAAATGCTTGCTTACATTCACTTCACGAATTCTCTAACAACTACAATGAAAAACTTGATAAGAAATGAAGGCTCTCAAAACGACTGAGTGGAAAAATCATATCTTCGAATGTTGTTCCAAAATTTCATCAGAAGATTCTCAGAACTTTTATTATTGGGAAATGAACTTCATGTCTCATTGTGTTCCATTTAGAAAAAGTATCCTATGACAAATATTAGTAACATTTATCGTTGAAGTACTCGTGAAATCGCAAATACCAACTTGAGCATTACTGTTCAGAATGAGAACGCCATGTGCTTTATTGTCAGGTTCAAGTGCCAAATAAAATCCATGCACACCATAAAGGTTTTTGCCATCCTTCTCAGCAGAATTCGGGAATTCATCACGGGCGAACATTCCCCATGTGGTGTAGTTGGTGAAATCATGCTTAATGAGAGGAATGTCGTTTTATGATGTCTCATAATGAGATCGCACTTGTGCTCGTCATCGAACTTATTTCAGTGGTTGGAGTCAGGTTATACCGATCTCATTCAAGCCTTATATTAGTCAGTGGTTCTTTTGCTTAAGATGTTCCATTCATGGAAATAAACTAAACGAGGATTCAAAATCATTATTGCGACAAATTCAATTGAATGTCTTCCTTTGAATGAATTTGCCAACGCTCAATTAATGATCAGATTAAATAAGTGATACGATGTATTCAATTAAAACAGATAATGAATCCATAACAGAGATTTCAGATATGAAAACTCAGCCATTACAATGCAGATATAATAAATCTTTCTAAGAATCAAGGTCTGTAAACAGACTGCCATCCAACAGTAAACAAGCTGTCTAAATGCAAAAGAAACCTTCAGTGTTTGATGGATATTTTCACCGAAACCATAAAGTTTTGTTGATGGTAGCTTTGTGGCTATTTGTATAAATTTATCAGCAAACATCATACCGCCTCAAAGAGATATTATTAGTGTTTTATACATATTCACTCCAAATGGATCTTCTTTTTGGTGGTACAGAAAAGCGAATAATAAAAAGTATTCATGCTATCGTTCAACTGAGACGAGCTTCGCAATCATTCTACTGGAATGTTATTCAGTAATCAATTAATCCTAAAATGATTCGTAAAACCGATAACATTACCAATTGATGTGTCCCATATAACAGTTCCAGTTGATTTCCTCTTCACCACGAAATAAAAGAATTTCGATTTGCTTACTTCAACAATCAGTTCATCAGATGATACCGATTTTCCATGTGCAAAAATGACGTAGTCCCTCGTTTTGAATCTGTATTGCAGTGGTTGACAGATAGCTCACGAGGATGAAAATATTCAGATCAATAATAAGGATAATA